ATATATATATATATATATATATATATATATATATATATATATATATATTTTTTTTTTTTTTTTTTTGATGAACTAGCCACTTAAGTTGTGTGTGTTTTTTAAAACAGTGACAACATAATTTATTTTTTGGCTATACTTTACATTGTACCCATCTGAAACATTGTAAATATCTTGTATTTCCTATAACTTTACTAAGTAAAGATGTGAAACTCTTACCTTTGCTCTTTTGGGTTAAGGGATATTTTGTTCTGACTAATGTAGGCTTACAGTTGTAGCAAAGTTTTGACAAACCTGAGAAAATGGAAAAAAATATGAAAACATGAAAAAAAAAATAATTTAAAGCAAAATAACTTTATAAAATTCTTTCAAAAATAAAATTTTTGAAATTGATCCTCTCAGTTGCTCACTGGTTTTTAGGATAAAACATATTTTATAATTTAGGTACTGTTTGAACTTGCTAGTCTTGAGATATTTTGCAAAACCTGTGTTCTCCAGTACATCAGAAAATTGCAATATTATGAAGCAAACATTGCTGAAATAAAAAATAATAAATAAACTTGTATAAACAAGAAGCAATACGCTGTAGGCATTCACTTCTAAAACAAGTTCCACACATTAATATTTCAATACTATAGTATCATCCTTTGATTAGGATGTTTAGTTAACTGGCAGTTGGACATATTTCATCATTTGGATTGATAAGAAAGATTATACTATATTAAGAGAGATATAATAAGAGAACTTTGCATTGCAAACAGTCAAATAAGATAATATATTCCTTCAACATACAAGAACCACCCATGTTAATCTAAAAGTATTACAACCTGGTTATGGTGGCCTGAAAAAGCCAACATACTGTTATACTGCTTGTAATTTGTCTTAGACTATTTTAATAAAGCATCTCCTCCCAGACCGTTCATACAGTTAAAGTCAGAATTATTAGCCCCCCTTCAAAAAGAAATTTATTTCTTTTTGAAATATTTCCCAAATAATGTTTAACAGAGCAAGGACATTTTCACAGTTTGTCTCAAAATATTTTTTCTTCTGGAGAAAGTCTTATTTGTTTTTTTTTCGGCTAGAATAAAAGCAGTTTTAAACTTTTAAACACCATTTTAAGAACAAAATTATTAGCCCCTGTAAGCTATATATTTTTTGATAGTCTACAGAACAAACCATCATTATACAATAACTTGCCTAATTACCTTAACCTACCTAGTTACCCTAATTAACCTAGTTACACCTTTAAATGTCACTTTAAGCTGTATAGAAGTGTCTTGAAAAATATCTAGTCAAATATTATTTACTGTCATCATGGCAAAGACTAAATAAGTCAGTTATTAGAAATGAGTTATTAAAACTATTGTGTTTAGCAATGTGTTGAAGAAATCTGCTCTCCGTTAAACTGAAATTTGGGAAAAAATAAACAGGGGGCTAATAATTTTGATGTTTTATTTATATTTTATAAATGATGTATTTTTAGCTTCATTACTCCAGTCCTCAGAGTCATATGATCCTTCAGAAATCACTCTCATATTAATTATAATTATTATTAATAGTAACAGTAATTAAAGCAATAATGACTGGAGTAATAATTCCATTTAAAACGACATGCAATAAAAAAGCAGTTATTTAAAACTTTAATTCTTTTAAATTTAATAAAATGTCGCCTTGATGAACAAAACCATTTTCTTTAAATAAAATTCTGACCGGTAGTATACATAGCTTATTAAGAACATCAATTACACTCTTTTATGAGGGTCTTGGCACTGCTTAATTGTTCTCCTCAGACTCTCGGCTCATACACATTCAGTATCCATATCCTGTATTTGCATATCTTACAACTGTGGGTATTTTGATGTGCTCTTGTTTGAGTATCTTGTTAGCAATGCCAAGCTCTTCCAATCCAAGGTCAGAATTATGCAAAGTTCTCTTAAATTGATCTGTTTTGTTATTATAGCTAAAATAGTGGAGCATGGTGCAAGCAAAGCCAATGTGGTGGGTTCAAACAAGTTAAAGTCATTTGGATGAATTTGCACATTTGCAGGAATAAATTTATGAAATGAAAGTGCATACGGGACGATTGTAATGATAAATTACTTAGAACTATTACTTAATAATTATAAATAAGCAAATTATGAACAATGTTCAACTGTGACTTGACAAAACATTAGGAAGAGCAGACGTGCAAAACATGACCTCTCTGGACAGGAATTTAAAATATGGAGCAATCGCTTGCATTTTAAATGTGTAATCATCTTGTTTAATCCCGCCCCTTTTCGCAGCGCCGTACGACAGAATTTCGCAAACTCAAACTCTAGTGTGACCGCAGCTTAAGTGAAACTTGCAATTTTTTTTGATTATATATTTTTTATTTCGCTTTTTCAAGAATTAACAATACAGAACATCAAAACAAAACAACAAACAAACTAAATTAAAACATACACAGTATATTAAATAAATACGGTAAATTAAATTAAATAAATAAAAAGGGAGGAGATACAGTATAAGCCAGTAGAAACAAAAACATTTTGTCAAATCAAATCAAGTGGTACTGTTTTAATATAGTTCAAAAATGGATTCCAAATCTTTTTAAATACTTCATCCTTTCCTCTCAAGGAATATGTGATCTTCTTCAATGGTACACAGTTGCAAACTTCTGAGATCCACTGTCCAATTGGTACATCAATGTCTGTTTTCCATTTTAAAGCAATGCATTTTTTAGCTATCGTCAGCAACATTTCGGTAAGTTTAATAGCATAGTTATGCTGGAGGTTAGAATTTGTGTAATTACCCGATAAACATATCTCTGGATCCAATGGAAAATCAATTCCATGAATCTGTGATATAATATTGCATACTTGCACCCACAACACTTTCACTTTAGGGCACAGCCATGTAGAATGCAAAAATGTACCTTCTTCTATACCACATCCGAAGCAGACAGGAGAAATACTGTTTTTAAATTTGTGTAATCTGGATGGAGTATAATAAAGCTGGTGTAAGAAATTAAACTGGATTAGTCTAAATCTGGAATTCAAAGTTGAGGTTACCCCATCTCTACATAGCTGACCCCACAGGTCATTTTCTAGTGTTATCCCCAAATCCTGTTCCCATCTAGTTTTAGACTTATCTGGGACAATCAAAGGTTGTCTAAGCATCAAAGCATCATATATTCTAGAAATTGTTTTATGTAATGGTTTATCAGAGAAAACAAGTTCCTCCATAGCGGTTAAATTGGGTATCTTGGGATAATTTTTTAATTTGACCCTTAAGCAATCCCTTAATTGCAAATAACTAAATTCTTTATTGGTCATGTTATAGTTTTTTTTTTAATTGCTCAAATGACGAAACTTGCAATTTTAACCACTGAACAAGCAAACATCACTGGTTTGGAATGCTAACAACACAAAACTTTTTAAACATACAATAAATGTATTATTAGAGATTAGTTAGTAAACTATAGTCTTTGCCATGATGACAGCGATTACTATTTGACTAGTTAGTTTGCAAGTTATTATTCAGCATAATGTGCAATTTAAAGACTTAACTAGGTTCATTAATTTAATTTCCTTCGGCTTAGGGCCTTATTTATCAGGGGTCGCCACAGCGGAATGAACCGCCAACTATTCCAGCATTTGTTTTATGCCGTGGATGTCCTTCCAGCCACAACCCAGTACAAGGAAACACCCATACTCACTCACACACACTACAGCCAATTTCGTTTACCCAGTTCACCACCTATAGTGCATGTGTTGGGACTGTGAGGATAACTGGAGCATGCGGAGGAAACCCACACCAACACGGGGAGAACATGCAAACTCCACACAGAAATGCTAACTGACCCAGCTGGGTCTCGAACCAGCGACCTTCTTGCTGTAAGGCAACGGTGCTAACCACTGAGCCACCATTAAGTATATAAGTTATTTAGTCAATTCATTGGATAAGAGTGGTTTGTTCTTTGTTTCTTAAGTGGGCAAATAATATTGACATTTTTTATTAATATTTTTATTGAAACTAAAATAAATACGATTTTACCCAGAAGAAAAAAAAATATATATGTAATAACAAGAACTGTAAAACATTCCTTGCTCTGTTAAACGTCACTTGGGAAATACTTAAAGAATGAGAATTTCACAGCAGGGCTAATAATTTTGTCGTCAGCTGTTTACACACATCCACTTTAATAAAAGTGTTTTCAAAAAAAAAAAAAAAAAAAAAGTAGCCATTTTTTTGGCTTTTTTGTTTCCTTAACTAATTTGGTCTTGCTTTAAACCCTTATTTTAGGCCATTCTTAACTAACATTAGCTATAGCCTCCTAGGGCTTGAATGGACACATACCTGAACAGCACATTTTAGCTCTTAAGTGGCTATTTAAAATACTTTGAATGTTTTATATTTTGTTACAGACATACAGTGTCATCCTGCAAATGTTTTGCAGCATATGAAATGTCCCAAACACTATTTTTAACTGTGTGCTAAATGGGCAAAAATGTTTTTTCTGTCTGATAGTTAAAACACTTTCGAAAAAATAAAAAAACAAAAATCTGTTATATATGGATTAAAAACAGTCGGGAAAAAAAGTGTTTTATGTAAATTTGGACCACAAGTTCACATATACAGTATGGACATCATTTTTCTCTAAAAGTACATCATATCACATAGATGATACTTAGGTTTTATTCTAATTAGGTTCCAATAAGCCCAAATAGCACAGAGTAATAAAAAATGCATGTAAAAAAACAGCTTGAGCCTTAAGAGGATGGCACATTTTATCGAGTTCTTTAAGCACCATTAAATTTAACTATGATAACAGTGTCTGTTGCTGATAAAACATATTTAAATAATTTCTGCAGTTTGGTTATTATCTTTCTATCTTTAACAGAGAAGTATAACGCTCATCAAATTTTCTGTGTATCGTCTGATAGGCTGCTCTCTGAAAACGTCACGTTTTAATTTGCAAGTGATCAGTGATATAAAGGCCGTGTTGCTCTGGACATTTTAAAGCCAGCATCGAGACTTGAAGGTCAAGCCTAACTGCAATCACTCGGAGATCGTACATCTTTCCTGGGTTTAATTACCAGATTTCTAGCAATTGGTGAGTATCACTTTACTACAGTTTATTTTGTATTGTTATATCATGTTTCTAAAATGTAATCTTTTATTTTTATGTTTTAGTAATTTATATTAAAGGATTCAGTAATAGGGAGTGTTGGGGAAAGGTACTTTAGAAAGTAATGAGTTACAATTTTGAGTTACTCCTCAAAAAAGACACTAGTTGCGTTAGTTACTTTTTATGATGACTAATGCATTACTTTACTTTTGAGTTACTTTTATTTTCCTGGCTAAGATGTTCAGGGTTTTTTCTTTTTTTTTTTTTTGTTAAATAGATGAGCTCTTTAATTAACAACATACTGTATAACCTTCACCATCATTTACCGTTAAAAAATACACATAAAAATAATAACTTAGGATAATGTTATTTTACTTCCATCACAGAGATGTTTGGCTCTGCCATGTTGATTTCTGTACGTTCCCACGCGGAGCTCATTCTCTTATCGAGTGTGTTTCAATGTTTCTTGTTTTTTCTCCTCATTTTAATTCAGCAACTTATATTTTACAAAAAAAAAAAAAAAACTTAAATCAGTACCAATAGCCTAGTGATTAGGTGCGCAGACATATAGCACCATTGTGCTTGCAGTGACCTGAGTTCGATTCCTGGCTCGATGTCCTTTGCCGATCCTTCACCTCTCTCTGCTTCCAATGCTTTCCTGTCTGTAACCTCCACTGTCCTTTCCAATAAAAAAACGGAAAAAGACTAAAAAATAATTAGATGTGAATATAAAAAAGTAACTTGAATATTATTACTTACTTTTTAAAAAGTAATGTGTTACTTTATTTGTTCATTCATTCATTTTCCTTCGGCTTAGTCCTTATGTTATCAGAGGTCACCACAGTGGAATGAACTACTAACTATCCCAACATATGTTTTACACAGCAGATGCTCTTCTAGCTGCAACCTAGTACTGGAAAACATCCATACACACTCATACACTACGCCTATTTTAGCTTATTCAATTCACCTAAACCCCACAGTTTTGGATTGTGGGGGAAACCGAAGCACCCAGAAAAAACCAATGCAAAAATGGGGAGAACATCCAAACTCCACACAGAAATGCCAACTGACCCAGCCGGGAAACCAGCAACGTTCTTGCTGTGAGGCAACAGTGCAAACCACTGAGCCAACATGCCGCCTGTTACGTTACTCTACTCCAGGCGTGTCCAAACTACGGCCCGCGGGCCATCTGCGGCCCGCAATCAGTTTTGTGGCGGCCCGCGAGGCTTTTTATAAATATCAATAGAATCTGGCCCGCTATACAAAAATGAACGTAATTCAATAAATAACCACGGGGTGTCGCTATTACATGCATTCAATTAAGCAGCAGTTCTTGTTATGATCTATCTATCTATCTATCTATCTATCTATCTATCTATCTATCTATCTATCTATCTATCTATCTATCTATCTATCTATCTATCTATCTATTTATACACAGTTGAAGTCTGAATTATTAGCCCCTCTTTGATTTATTTCTTCTTTTTTAAATATTTCCCAAATTATGTTTAACAGAGCAAGAACATTTTTACAGTATGTCTGATAATATTTTTTCTTTTGGAGAAAGACTTTTGTTTTATTTCGGCTTGAATAAAAAGCGGTTTAAATTTTTTTATGAACCATTTTAAGGTCAAAATTATTAGCCCCTTAAGTCTTCAGAACAAACCATTGTTATAAAATAACTTGCCTAAATACCTTAACTTAACTAGTTAACTTGATTAACCTAGTTAAGCCTTTAAATGTCACTTTAAGCTGTATTTAAGTGTCTTAAAAATATCTAGTCAAATATTATTTACTGTCATCATGGCAAAGATAAAATAAATCAGTTATTAGAAATAAGTTACTAAAACTAATTTGTTTAGAAATGTGTGGAAAAAAATCTTCTCTCCGTTAAACAGAAATTGGGGAAAAATAAACGGGGGCTAATAATTTAGGGGGGCTAACAATTCTGACTTTAACTGTATTTATATATATATATATATATATATATATATATATATATATATATATATATATATATATATATATATATATATATACACGTGTCTGTGTGATGTATGTAAAATTTGGCCCGCGACAACGTTTGTTTTTTTGCATCTGGCCCTCGGCCCAAAAAGTTTGGACACCCCTGCTCTACTCTTTACTCTGTAGAAAGCAATATTATTATGTAACTTGCGTTACTTGTAATGCTTAACCCCAACACTATTTAAAAGGTAACACATACTCTCAGAAAAAAAAATTCAAGAGCTGTCCTTTCAAAGCAAACATACTGTATTTGTACGCTGTAAAAAAAAAAAAAAATTAAATCTGCTATTTTATTTATTTATTTTTTTTTTTGGCAGTTAAAGTAAAATAACAGCCGGTAAATTACAGACAATTACCGTAAAATAACAGAAGGTAAATTACAAAAATTTAAATTAAAGGAAATTTCTATAATTTAAGTCTGCTATTTTATGGTAAATGTCTGTAATTTAATGGTTGCAACAAGAGTGCCAAAAAAAAAAAAAGTTAAACTAGTATTTTACAGTGTACCTAAATGGTCCAAATTGAAACCTTCAAGTTGACTAATAGTACAACACACATTATTTATTAGGACATTTTTAGTTCGTACATTGTACCAATGTGTATCTTTTGAAAAGGTGCAGACCCATTGGCAGCTCCCGTGCCTTTTTCTAGAAGTGTGACAATGTTTGAGCTAAAGTAGCTTCTTATTTAACAGGGAGAAGAATAGAGTAAATGTTGTAATGTTTTAGTTACATAAACAGTAAGTTTCAGATGCAAAAATTGTTGTGCATTTTGCAAACACTAAATATTTAGAAAATATAATGATTTTGCAAAGTACGATGCGATCCTGGATTAATATTTACGTTGATCCTGGAACATTTTTGTTAGAAAATGTAATCCATACCTATTCCATATCCCCTAAATCCAACCATAACTGTAAATATTTCTTAAAACTACAGGGTAATAATGGTTGGATAACAATCACGTACAAGTACATAACCCTAAACATAAGCCTAAAATTAGCATAAACTGTAAACATACAGTATGCCCTAATTCTGGCAGATTGGAATGTTGTTCCAGGATCAACATAGATGTTAATCCAGGAACAGGTTCACACCAACCACGCATTTGCATTCCCGTCTTTTAGTCCAATCAGTTCCCAAATAACAAAATCATGCACTGCCATACATTTTTTTTCTCATTTCAGAACCATTTCAAGTGGTTATACATCACAATAGTAGAAAACTTCCATATTTTGGCAACTTTAAGCATCTAAAACCTAAAATAAATGTGTGACTGAAAGCGCTGATAAGTTGTGATCTGCATGAGTCTTTTTCTGTCTCATTGTAGCCATCGCGGGAAAGCAGATTTGAAATTAGCAGCTGATTGTGAGACACACTGAATCTCTAATTGTGATCGTAGCCTACGCTCAAGGGGTTAATCTTTAAAGCAGTAAGCAAATATTAGCAAGCAGTATTGAAAAAAGCAACACTATTTGAGCATATATGTGTTGTTGTCAAGTTTTTGAGTTATTTCGCTGATGTTTTACAGAAGAAGTGTGGTATGTCTTCCCTAATTTCAATTCATTTTTGTGACTTACAGAGCACAGTTTTAATGTACCAATTATTAGATAATGCTTTAATGTACTGTTTGTCTTGTTCACCAGATCATGAAGACCCGTCAGTCCTTTATAATTCTGCTGCTGGTTATTTGTGCATCACTGGCTGTTAACAGTCAGTCTTATAATGACTTCAAACGCAAGCATCTGGCTCCAGCTGGCATGAAAGAAGATGACTGCACCACTCTGATCGTCACAGAGAGAAAAATAAAAGAAAAAAACCAATGCAAAAAAATAAACACCTTTATACTTGAAACAGAGGACAAAATTAAAGGTGTTTGTAACACACCAGCGACAGATGGAAAGAATCATAAGGGCACTGGCTTTACTGTGATTAACTGCACCAAAATAGAAAACATAATTGATTGTAAATATAATGGTGTTAAACGAACTACTGACATTATTTTGACATGTGAAAATAGACTGCCAGTCCATTATGGACGTTCCAACAATTCTTAAGGCTATATATATATATATATATATATATATATATATATATATATATATATATATATATATATATATATATATATATATATATATAGCATTGTATAACTTAAATTTACTTCCCCATTACGTTATTTCTTTATTTCTATATTTTCCACTGGGGTTGTTTCAGTGCATTAGTGTCTTGGTTAGATCTGTCAATGTCTTGTAGCCAGTATGGCAAAAACAATGGAAAAGGAGAGAATAAAATGTCGTCGTTGAGAGTTTGTACAAAAACAGACAAGAAAGAAGGAGAAATTAAAGAATGATTTTTATTTGCCACCTGTGCTAAAACCCCCTTAATAAAAGTTTCTACCAGCATTAAACCGGTCTCCTATAGATTTTATTACAATGTGATCAAAGTAAATTGTGCTTAATTTGTTCTCTGGGAAGCGTACCTCGTATTACTTCCAAAGAGAAGTACTGAACGAACAAAATATATTGTGTCAAAGAAATTACAATCTTGATCCTGTTTTAAGGTTTTTCAAGCAATTCAAAATGCAACAACGTCACACAAACTACACCCATTCAAAGAAAAGGAGAACAAACACTTGGGAGAAACCAGACTCATAGGGACAGAAATGTGTACATACACACACACACACACACACACATATATATATATATATATACATACATACACATACATATATACATACATATATACATACATACATACATACACATACATATATACATACATACATACATATATATATATATAAAACCTAAACAATGTTTAGCTGTTTAGCAGAGCAAGGAAATTTTCACAGTATGCCTAATAATATTTTTCCTTTTGGATTAAGTTTTTTTTTTTTTTTTTTTTTTGGCTAGAATAAAAACAGCTTTTCATTTTTTAAAAATCATTTTAGGGAAAAAATTATTAGCCTCTTTCAGCTATATATTCTTTTGATAGTCTACAGAACAAACCATCATTATACAATAACCTGTCTAGTTAACCTAATTTAGCCTTTAAATGTCACGTTAAGCTGTATAGAAGTGTCTTGAAAAACAACTAGTCAAATATTATTTACTGTCATCATGACAAAGATAAAATAAATCAGTTATAAGAAATAAGTTATTAAAACGATTATGTTTAGAAATGTAGTGAGAAAATCTGCACTCCATTAAACAGAAAGTGGGGAAAAATTAACAGGGAGGCTAATAATTCAAGGGGGCTAAAAATTCTGACTTCCACTGCATATATTACATAGACACATTCTCATCTGATTACAACAAAATTATTTAAAGTATAAATGAAATCAAAACTAACCATATGATTTTGTTGTGCTATGCTAGTTTTGTGGTGAAGAATTAATCTGTTTAGGAAAAAAGTTTTCCTTTAATATTAATAATATAATATTTATAATAATAATGTAATATTTTGAATACATTTAAACCTAAAATGCACTTCCTGTTTGATTTCAGTTAAATTCTCAGATTACATCTATCTGAGACAATGGGCATGGCTAACATACTCAACCAGGACCCTCCAGCTGTTAGTTTTGACAATAAACAGAAATGGTGAGGAGGAGGAGTCTGTTAGGTCAGATCTTCCTGAATGAAATGCTTACTTTACTACATCCAATCAGCTTGCAGGAAAAAAAACAAGCCCCGACCACTGTTTTCTCACTTAATTTTCCATTTCTGTAACAATACACACAAAATAAATAAATAAAATGGTCACAACTTCCAGTTCTTGAGAACTTTAAATGTGAAGTTGTTCTTGGACATGCAAACGATAGCAAAACAATTTAAGACTATAACTCAAACCTTAGCGAATAAACAGTGTTCCACCAGGATCATGTATGTCAGAAACTGTAGTTTACTGCTGAACTCATTTTGTCATGGTAAAATAACACAGAAATCGAGTAATAACACTTCAGTCTCCTGCCGAAGCTCAGACGCGCTGCTTTGATAAACTGTCAATCACAACTGTCAATCACGATGACACGCCCAGCATTTAAATTACTGCTAAAAACAAACTGTTTACAAAAATGAAGATCTGCACCTATTTCAGCACAATAACCAGTGCCTTAATCGACCAGAACCATCTTTCGGGACATTTTATTGCATGTGTAATAATTTTTTTTATTTGGGCTCAAGTCTCCTTCATTAACACGGAGGAAGCGGGCTTTATGACTTGTACTGCAGCCAGTCCCCAGGGGGCGATCTAACGGCCGAGACCTTCACTCAAACGCAGCCTTGCGGCACACTTGGTGTGCACCATCACACACACGGATTATTATTATTTTTTTCTTCTTGTGTGTGATTTTTCAGGAGTTTATGTACATAGGCATTTATCAACACAATAACACAGAAGGACATTTAAATAAGTGTTAAATAAAGGTAAACAATTAAAAATATTAAGTTAAATATATGCACATCTTGATGGTTTATGGGCTAAATGTGCATTGTAGACTTCTTTAACTGTATGTAATTAATATTTAAATAAAATTATTCACAATTAAGTGGATGTATTGAACATAATAATGTTATTTACAAGCAAAGTATAAAAAATTATTATGTTATTATGACATAATAAAACTATTCCAACATTTCCATAATGCGTTAAAAAGAACCGAATGGGACTGTGAATAGTGAAAGTGAAACCGCCAGCGGGTGTAAGTCTGACGTACAATTCACAGTTATGACCAGTAGATGTCATCACAGGATAAGAAATCTTACAGTAATACTGTGTAAAGTTATAAAGTCTCGTGTGTTTAACAGGAAAGTTAAACTATCAAGCATCCAATATCATTACTTAGACCGATTCATTTCCCAAAAGTCCCCCCTGGCTCTTTTCCACTGCAGTCAGACACAAGTGACCAAAGGTAAGCCAGACATACAGACTGAAAATCATGTTATTTAGATATTTTTTGAAATGCAAATAAAAAATGTCTTGACATACCTAAATATTTAGTTTTACTTTCACATCCACACAGTGAAATCAATAAAGCAACATTGTTGCATGTCCCAAAATAACTTATATTCATATGGAGCTAGTGATTTTACAGCTGTAAAAAAATGCTGTTTAGTTTACCATGTTATACCTACCATTTTTACACGACAACTACACCTATAACAGAGTCCATGTTCTTACATTGACTGTGTCTGACAACCAGTAATTTAAAATGACACAATCAAATAGTGGCGGTTCTTTCCGCTGTGGCGACCCCAGATTAATAAAGGGACGAAGCCGAAAAGAAACTGAATGAATGAATGAATGAATGTCTAAATAGTGTAAATGTAAATAATCAGCAAGTGTAATTTCAGATTTTATAAAATAGAGAAGTACTGCAATTTAACAAAGCACTGCTAGACTACACCTTCATTTGTCTTAAAACAACAACAACACATAAATACATGACTATTTAGATTATTTAATTATTGCACATATAGGAGAGATGCGGTTTAAAACGAACACGTGCTGGTCAGTCTGCTCAAGTCAATGCAGTTTCAGGCCAGTTCTTAACTTGCAAATTCAGTGGCTAATTCATATAAATTTTTAGTCTTATTCTCTCATTCATACATTTTTGTACATTTTGCTCATCCCACATTGAGGGGTAGCATTTTGGGGAATGTTTTTAATATGAATGATCATGGTGGCACAGTGGGTAGTGCTGTCGCCTCACAGCAAGAAGGTCGCTAGTTCGAATTAATAAAATTAAAATAAATAAACTAAATTGTTCATGGTGAATGTATGGGAATGCAAGAGTGTATGGGTGTTTCACAGTGCAAGGTTATGGCTAGAAGGGCATCCGCTGCATAAAACACATGCTGGATAAATTGGCGTATCATTCCGCGGTGGTGACCCATGATGAATAAAAAGGCTAAGCCGAAAAAAAATGAATGAATGATGTACTGTAGTATGTATTTGTACAAATTAGCTACTCCTCTGACAGTGTGAAATAATAGTTATGTTACCCCAGGTGATCGTTCTTTTTTGATAATAATACAGTTTTCAATGTTCAATTATTCTGCACTTTTGGTAAAAAATACAGACGTTTTTTATTCCCAAATTTAGAATACCAATGGGGGGCAGGCTTGTTGACACCTCCCTCCAAATTTTAAGACCTGCCAAGGACCATATTTTTTATATTATGTCCTGATGCAGAAAACAATGAAATTCCACAGGGGTTCTGTTATATTTTTATCCTTAACATAACATGAGTAACACACCTAGACACTCCCTGTATTGAAACACTTACGATTTTTTTTTTCACTAAAAAGAAAGTGTACAGTAGGTTCATTCCGCTGTGGCGACCTTTAATGAATAAAGGGACTAAGCCGAAGGAAAATAAATGAATGAAAGCATACACAGACAGACTTATTCAGGTACAATGTATCACAATGTATTGCATATACTGTATAAGGAGAACTAGAGCGCCCTCTAGCCTTACAACACGTTGTGCATACACTAGCAGGGGTGTCTAAACTCAGTCTTGGAGGGCCTGTGTCCTAGAGAGTTTCTCTCTAACTTGCTTCAACACACCTGCCAGGAAGTTTCTATATATCTAACAGCTTGATTAAGTAGTTCAGGTGTGTTTGATTAGGGTTGGAGCTAAACTCTTCTGGATACTGGCCCCCCAGGACCGAGTTTGGACATCCCTTCACTACAGTTTCCAACTGTTTTAACATGACTAGTATTTCTAGACTGAGATTTTCTGTGCATTATCTGCTTGTTAATGCAGAATCTGAACAGACTGCCACTGTCGTTGATTGGAGAAAGTATAATTTGCTAAGCATGCAAAAATTTCCAAGATTGTTTGAATATTTCACTGTTGTATTCAATATAATTCAACTAAAATGGTCAATCTGCTTAGTCAAGTTTAACCTGGCTTTCAGATTTGACTGTTTATTGAGAGCATAAACTGTGAGGTTCATAAGCACAAAGACATGAACAACCATTTCCCCTACAAACCAAACACACGTGCACAAAAAGCCCATCACTCTCACCTACAAAACTGCCATCAGACCACAACCCACGGCAGGTTGCAGTTTGACACATTTTAAGCTGCTAGAATCACATTTAGACACAGCAGAGAATTTTCCCTAATAGTAAATATTTATTAAGATCATCTTTAAAAAGTTAATTAATAAGCCACACTTTAGAAATTGTAATTTTACACAATGTTCTATATTTCTACTCCAACTGCTTTTCAAAAGTGTTTGCCTTACTACATAAAAGAAAAGAAAGTGATATATATATATATATATATATATATATATATATATATATATATATATATATATATATATATATATATATATATTTATTGCAAAAAGATATAATTCACAACAGCTGTTAGACATTTTTACAGCAAATAATACTCCAAATTAAATTCCTGAACCAGGGAATGAAAACTAAAGCAACGCATCCATGTACATGATCTTCCATTAATACAAAAACTATTTACAGAAGTAACCAGGCCATCGGAAAAATTCCTTAGTGTTTAGCTCTGTATAAGTCACTCATAATAGTCTTAAAGGGGTCTTAAAAAGTCTTAAATTTGATTTGAAGACACCTGCAGAAACCCTGATTTATGTGTTAATTTTTGTACTATTTACTGTTTTAAAGTAAAGAACCAAACTAGCATTAGTGTAACCATATTTCATTCCTAAAAATAGAGTATTTATTTCACCCAATAGGAGGGTCAAACTCCCTTGTGGGCGGAGTCATGTTTTCAGAAGGATTTTTCTTTTCTTTTTTTTACATCACTCCTTCACTGAACGTCTGGCGAAAATGTTTGGCATGTTTGCTTTAAGTTTGTGCTGGTGGCGTTTAATCTGTGAGTTTAATGTTTCATTTTATACAGAGAGAAGCCTCAAACTGAAGCTTAAACTGTCTATAATCTCAATGTTTTCCAGGTGTGTTTGGCGAGTCTGTGTCAGTGATGGAGGGAGATTCACTCACTTTACACACTGATACTCAAATATCTAAAGATGACATACTATGGACATTTGGAGCTGAAAACTCGATCATCGCTAACATTAAAATAAAGAAGCAAAATCTCTCCATTTATTATGGTCCTGATAGGAGATTCAGAGACAGACTGAAGCTGGACAATCAAACTGGATCTCTGACCATCATGAACATCAGATCTGAACATGCTGGAGATTATAAAGTGCTGATCAATGGAGCAAAACTGATAATAAAAACCTTCAGTGTTTCTGTCTATGGTGAGTAGAGCTCATCATTTGTGATTGATCAGTACTGATCAAACTGTCATATTTTATTAAAAGAATATTTAACACAGTACTAAAGTTAAGCTTCATCAGCAGGATGTAAATAAGTGGCCAATATTCACAAACACAATGTAATCTAGAGTTTTCTGTGCACAACTTTAAATACTAATACATTATAAGCTACCAAAGCAGAAAACCACAAAACCAGTCATAGTATTAGTCAAAACAACATCTGAAAGCTGAATAAATACGCTTTAAATACAGTGATTTATGGATTTGGATTGTTAGGAAATGACGTTGTTTGGTTTAGATTTTCAAATAGTTGTGTATCTCGAGTCTGAGTGTGCAAAAACAAACATTTTGAAGAAAAAAACCTTTAAAATTATCTAAATAAAGTACACAATATATACACAAATGCAACATATGATAATATCAAAGTTCTCTAATTTGTTTTTCAGAAAAAATATTGAATTATCTTGTAAACAGAAATGAGCTTTAAAACTGATTTAAGGATTAAAAGAAAAGAAAGAAAGGAAATAATCAGGAAAAAACTCAATTTTTTTTTTTTTGTAAAGCTGTTTTAAAACTTTTCTTCTTTTAGGCTTTTTTACCACATAAAGTTAATTAACCCTTATATTGTTTACCTAAAAGGTACAAATAATGTTGGTGTCTCGCTATTCTCTGGTGTTTTTCAGCTCGTCTGCCTGTTCCTGTCCTCATCTGCAGCTCTTCTCAGTGTTCTTCATCCCAGTATAATTGTTCAGTGGTGTGTTCAGTGATGAATGTGAGTGCTGTGAGTCTCTCCTGGTACAAAGGAAACAGTGTATTGTCCAACATCAGTGTGTCTGATCTCAGCATCAGTCTCTCTCTACCTCTGGAGGTGGAATATCAGGATAACAACACCTACAGCTGTGTGATCAACAACCCCATCAGCAACCAGACCACACAACTCAACATCACTCAGCTCTGTCAACCATGTTTAGGTAAGGTAGCACCAAAATAAGAGTTTGAGTAGAATTTCACATACAGTAATAATGGTCTCCTTCAGGTCCTCCAGACTCAGGATCTCAGCTAGTGTTGATTTCTGCTGCTGCTGGATCTCTGCTGATTATTTGTGCAGTCAGGATCTCATACATCTGCAGGAAACACAGAAAAACCGATCAAGATGGCAAGTGTCACCTACTTAAAAAAAATAATTAAATAAAAAATATTATAAAATATAACAGAAATATTTTTTGTAAATTAAAAGCCACAATTAATATCATACACAGCTATAATCCTACCCTATGCATATATCTAGAATGTAATACCGTGTTGTAAGAGGCTTGAAAACATTCTCGGGGATAAAACCTGGACTGGTTTTTGTATTTAGTAGTGACTAAATTAACTAAGAGAGTGTTATAGTTCCACCATGGCTATCTGCTTCACTAGACAAGGGCATGCCCATCTCGGAGTAGATTAGTTTATTAGGGAATGAAATAATTAAATACAAATAACATTATAATAGGTATCCATTAGATAGTAGAGGTCAGATAAAATACTTTAAAAACATCAGGATGAGGTTGATTGATCAACAATGCACCAGAAACAATCCCGAGAAAAATATGACCCTATAACTGGATTGAGCGGGGTTGGACAGTTTGCACATCTTAAGGATGGTTTGCAGATTCGTCATGCTGTTGGTGAGATTGCCGTCTCAATCTCTTGCTGCTTAATCTCTTGGTGTTAAACTAGGTTACAAATTTGACTGAAAAATGAAGTATCCTGCTCAGTCTCCACAGAAATTAAGAAATAGAAGAGAGCGTCCTACAAACTCTATGAGAGTGTTGAAGCTGGCCTCTGCTGATGAAACTGCAAACTATCTTCAGTGAACTTTATTTTTAATTGAATCGCTGACTCCGGCACTTTTTTATCTGACAGACTGGTCATTTTTGGGTTAAAACCATCGGTTCCCTTACAGCGTGTCAACATATGGCCTAATGTCGAGTTAAATAAATTGGTAATTAAACCGTTAATGAAATGTGAGCATTAAAACTTTCATTTTGACAGCACTAAGTTACAATGATTTTTTTTTTATTGTTCAAACAGTTGAGATTCTAACCGAGGTCACTTATGAGGAGTCGGAGTTTAACAAAAGCTGCACACAAAAATCGGTAAGGGATTATTCTTTATTTATGATTAGAGTCTTTGTGGCATGTTAGCAGTTAGTCATAGATAAATGTGCACTTATGTTTGGTCTATATCTATATTTGTCTCTGTCATATATCTATATACCCGTCACACACAACAGCATAATAAATGAGAATCATAAAAGAAAAAAACACTTGCATTGCATAAAAACCTTAACGTAATTAAAGTAAAAATAAAAAGTGTATTAAAAAATACATTTTAAATTATATTAAGGTCTTGATTCAGATAACTAGCAACAGCATGTTAGCATTATTGTTAGCATTATTTTTAAATTATTATTAAGATTACTACTACGTCAGCGTCAGTGTTAGCACCATTATCACATGGATGAAACAAAAGACACAACAGAAATATAAAATGCAGGATAAAACAACAGAAAAATACAAAAGATCTGCTGCCACAAAGTCTTTAAAATTTCACTGTATTGTGGTTTCCTTGATCAAACCAGCTTTACTCCTAATTATTGTATGTAGTCGTAAATTTCAGCTCTACTCATCTGAGCATTTGAGAATTTCCTTTAAGATTCTGCTTTTCTCACTCAGACCCGCTCGCTTAAACCAAAAAGCTCCTTTATATAAAAAAAGAAAAGAAAAAGTATTAAGATTATGGTTAAAAAGTTAAATTGTATTTTAATAAAGCTGTGAACTTCATAATGTACATCAAAATTAAAAACAAAGAAAAGAATTAGATAAAAATTTAGCAAAGACTCATGTGATAATTGAACCAAGAGATGTGTAATAAAGCATATAATTAAGCAAGGATATTTGTAGCGCAAGAGTTTAACACAAACACATAGATCCAAGTGCTTTACAACATAGATATAATTTAAAAAGTAGGGCACAACATATTTCATGACAAACAGACGATTTAAGTGACATTTCGCATTTGTTTAGCTTTAAATTTAGCTTTTGGTATTGAGCGTTTACCCAGAGGCACATTAATGCACAGGATTACAGGGGATGCGGCTACTGATAGCACATAATAATAATAATAATAATAATAATAATAATAATAATAATAATAATAATAATAACAACAACAACAACAACAATAATAATAATAATAATAATAATAATAATAATAATAATAATAATAATAATAATAATTCATTTTCAATAATTAGCAAAAATCACTTGAAGACAGATCAGGTCATGATCTAGCGTGTTTATAGCCGACTGGTGACTGACAGATTGGAAGTTCAGTTCATTTGACACTAGGACTGCCCGATATTGACTAAAAGATTGTGATATTTTTACATTCTGCAATATACAGTGCTTCTGCCAAAAATATATAATAACATAGATCAATCCAATAAAGAAAACAATTCAAATTAAATAAAGATTGTTTTATTGTTTTCCGAGTCTAACAGTCAGGTATAGTAATAGAACTATGGTAAAGTGTATTATACTCTATGTATTACAGTATTTACAACTCGGTCAATAAATCGTCACCTTGGAATTATAAGGTTCTCTCTGTGTTCTGAATGATTTTGAGATATTGAGCTTCAAGTTTTTGCATTTCATAGCAAACTGTATGAGTGTAACATTTGTTGTTTAAAAAAAGTCTTAAAATGTAAACAACTTATAAAAAAAAAACATTGCATAATGTAAATAATTTGTCATTTAATAAGAGTATGTCAATAACTCAATTTAGACAAAAATGTCAAATAGAACCTTGTAATTGTTAACTATAGTGACCTGATACACTAATAAATACTGTAGACCCACTTAGTTTCTTAGTTTTTCTTGTAGCACACTGTGGTGTATTGTAGTATATATTTATATTGTTTGTTTAATTGTAAATACTTATATATATATATATATATATATATATATATATATATATATATATATATATGTATATATATATATATTTATATTTGAATGATTATCCCCGTTTATTTTTTTCCCCAATTTCTGTTTAACCGAGAGCAGATTTCTTCAACCCATTTCTAATCATATTAGTTTTATTAACTCATCTCTAATAACTAATTTATTTTATCTCTGCCATGATGACAGTCAGTAATATATGACTAGATATTCTTCAAGGCACTTCTATACAGCTTAAAGAGACATTTCAAGGCTTAACTAGGTTAATTAGGTTAACTAGGCAGGTTAGGGTAATTAGGCAAGTTATTGTTTAACGATGGTTTGTTCTGTAGACTATTGAAAAATAAATTTGCCTAAAGGGGCTAATAATTTTGTCTTTAAAATGGGGTTTAAAAAATTAAAACTGCTTTTATTCTAGCAGAAATAAACAAATAATACTTTCTCCAGAAGAAATAAAATATTATCAGACATACTGTGAAAATTTCCTTGTTCTGTTAAACATCATTTGGGAAATATTAAAAAGAAGAAGGGGGGCTAATAATTCTGACTTCAACTGTATGTGTGTGTGTTTATGTATATACATATAAAACAGTTCTGTCTGGTTCTCGAATCTGATTAGCAGATATCGGTGATATATTTAAGTAATATCAGCACCCGTACAGCTTCTTTACCTTTTGTTCCTCATACAAAAGGGTTTTTGAGACTCTCCATGTTTGATTTTGTTTTTATATACACAATTATTTCCACTTGTTTGATGTGATATGCATGTATGAACTGTATGTATCCTGTGTTCCTTGCACACACTTGGCAAATAAAGCTCATTCTGATTTTGATGAGGAGCTTGTGTGCGGGGGTTGGTGGCCCACAGTAAAGCTTTAGCAAAGGGGCCTCAAACTACCTAAAGGAGCCCCTAAAGGTGACATTTGTCCTATATATGTGACTTAATAGAGGCAAGGGTCTGTCTAAACACCCACACTTTAGCACCTAACATTTCCCATGTTAGTTGGCACGAGCATTGCAAGTGTGTGTGACACGCTTTAAAAGTGTGTCTTACCCCACAACCCAGCAAATACAACTTTGATTGCTGAGTTTTGGGTTTGTAAAATTGATTTATGTTTGTGAAGTTTAGGAATAGAGTGTAAAATAGCAGTATAGTGTGGAATTGAATTTTGAACAAGGAAGATTACATAATTTATTAATAAATAAATAAATGTTCACATGTTGTTCTAAAATTGTTTCTTATTCTGTATGTAAATAATCAGGAAGCATTTTAGATGAACAAATCTATTTTGTTGTGTTGTTTTTACAGAACAGTAGAGAGCAGGAGCGGGTGCTGTATGCTCCAGTCACAAGATGAAGATGAACAAACTGTGTGATGACTTTCTTGAGAGCCAAAATCTATATGAATATTGGAGATATTAGTAGAGATATCAAGATTATTGGAGTCTATGGTTGAGTTTTGGGATTGGCGAGAGATGTAGAATAAAGAAAGTCTTCTGGTTTTTAAAACATGACAAAGAAAGTACCCGTTGTCTTTTTAAAACAAGAATTTTAACATATTACTTAAAAATATGGCCAATTATTTTGATAGACTCAGAAAACATAGCGTTTCAACTGAGGTACATTAATGAAAAAGTTTGACATATCTGTTTGCTAAAAGGTGTGGAAATGTCTCTATTGACACGTGGTTTACTCTGCTGGACCATTTAGCACTGAGTTTCTTCATTACCTTATTCTCTTTAGTCTCTCTATCTTCAGTTGGCAAGCTGAGTCTGACTTAAGAAGCTCCTGTGTCACTCATAGGCATGTCATCTGTTCTCTGTAATAAAATTCACTAAAGTTTAAAGAAATGATGAGTTAAGATGTCTTGAATTGTGTTGTTTATGTAATAGTTTGTAAAATAGTAGTTTGCTCAGGTGATCAGCCTGGTTAAATACAAATGCATTTTTGGTAGTAATGCAGTTTTTGCTGTTTATTTATTCTGCACTTTTGGTAAAAATACAAATGTTTCTTAATCTCAAATTTAGGATACCGATGGGGGGCCAAGCTTGTTGACACCTTCGTTCAAATTGTAAGACCTTAGCCAATATTTTTTTGTATAATGTCCTGATGCAGAAAACAATGAAATTCAATAGGGTTTCTGTTATATTTTTATTCTTAATATAACATGAGTAACACACAGAGATGACCGCTGTATGGAAAACACGTATGATTTTTTTTTCCCTAAAGAAAAGCACACACAGCCAGACTTCTTCAGGGGCAATGTATAACATATATAAGAAGAACTAGAGCGCCCTCTAGCCTTACAACATGTAGTGCATATGCTACAGTTTTCAAATGTTTTACCATGACTATCTTAGACTGATTTTCTCTGCATTATTTACTTGTTAATGCAGAATCTGAACAGATTATCACAGTCGTTGTTCAGGAAAATCATAATTAGCTAAACTTACAAATATTTCCAAGATTTCACTGTCATATTAACTATATAAATCATGGTCAGTCTGCTTAGTTAAGTTTAACCTGGCTTTCAGATTTGACTTTATGAAGGTTTGAGTTCAGTTTTGCAAGCGCATTTCCCAACCATTTCCCCTAACACACACATGTAGAAAAGCCCATCACCCTCACATACAAAACTGCCATCAGACCACATCTCTGAAGAACCCCGACCACAGGCTGCTGTTTGACATTTTAAGCTGCTAGAATCACAATGAGAGACAACAGGCAATATTTCCTAATAGCAAATATTTATTGATTTCACCTCTAAAAAGTTAATAATAAGCCACACTTTTAAAATTGTAATATTTACACAATGTTCTAAGTTTTTAATTCTTTTTTTTAAACTATTTTTCAAAAGTGTTTGCCTTATAGTTTAAAGAAAATAAAGTGTCAGAGATCAAATAATATATTGTGGTGTTTAATTAGTAAGTTTTAATATTTTATATATAGAGAAGCCTTATTACTTACACAACATTTTTAAATCAACAAGCCACAATTTAGAATGAAACTACAACATCCCATATGTCTACCCAACCACTTTTTCGAAAGCAGTTGCCTTATTGTTTTAAAACATTTATCAGGGTGTCCATGGGGCCCTAAAATGTATTCAACTTCAAAAACAAAATGTTATTCCTTAAAACGTCTTAAATTCCCTAAACTATTGTTTTGTAGGTCTTAAACCGTTTTAAACAGGTCTTAATTTCCATGTTTAAGTAAAGCTACCCGATCAGGCACCCAATCACCTATAATCCATCTCAAAACTTTGATTTAAAGGAACCAGCAGAAACCCTGATTTGAATGTTAAATTTGAGACTATTAACAGATTTAAAATAAAGAACCAAACTAGCATTAGTATTTAACCATACATCATTCCTAAAAATAGAGTATTTACTTCACCCAATGGGAGGGTCAAACTCTTGTGGGTGGAGTCATGTTTTTTAGAAGGGTTTGTCCTTTCTTTTTTTTTAAAGACCACTCCTTTACTGAGCGTCTGGAGAAAATGTTTTGCATGTTTGCTTTATGCTTGTGCTGGTGGCGTTTAGCTGGTAAGTTTAATATGTTTTATTTCACACAGAGAGAAGCCTCAAACTGAAGCCTTAAACTGTTTATAATCTGAATGTTTTCCAGGTGTGTTTGGCGAGTCTGTGTCAGTGACGGAGGGAGATTCAGTCACTCTAAACACTGATACTCAAATATCTAAAGATGACATACGATGGACATTTGGAGCTGAAAACTCGATCATCGTTAAAATTAAAATAAAGAGGCAAAACTTCTCCACGTATGATGGCCCTGATGGGAGATTCAGAGACAGACTGAAGCTGGACAATCAAACTGGATCTCTGACCATCATGAACATCAGATCTGAACATGCTGGAGATTATATACTCCTGATAACTGGAATTAATCGGACAATAAAAACATTCAGTGTTTCTGTCTATGGTGAGTAGAGCTCATCATTTGTGACTGATCAGTGCTGATCTAACTGTCATGTTTTATTAAAAGAATTTTTAACACAGTAATAAATTTAAGCTTCATCAGCATGATTTAAATAAGAGGCCAATATTCACAAACACAAAGAAATCTAGAGTTATCAGTGCACAACTTGAAATACCAATACATTATAAGCTACCAAAGCAGAAAACCACAAAACCAGTCATAGTTTTAGTCAAAACAACATCTGAAAGCTGAATAAATATGCTTTTACAATGATTTATGGATTTGGATTGTTAGGAAATGACAATGTTTGGTTTAGATTTTCAAATAGTTGTGTATCTTGAGTCTGAGTGTGCAAAAACAAACATTTTGAAGAAAAAAAAAAAAAAAGAACGCCTTTAAAATTATCTAAATAAAGTACACAATATATACACACATGCAACATATGATAATATCAAAGTGCTCTAATTTGTTTTTCAGAAAAATATTGATTTACCTTGTAAACGGATTTAAGGATTAAAAGAAAAGAAAGAAAGGAAATAATCAAGAATAAACTCAAAATTTTTTGTAAGGCTGTTTTAAAACTTTTCTTCTTTTCGGCTTTTTAACACGTAAAGTTAATTAACCCTCATATTGTTTACCCAAAAAGTAAAAATTATGTTGGTGTCTCTTTATTCTCTAATGTTTCAGCTCGTCTGCCTGTTCCTGTCCTCACCTTCAGCTCTTCTCAGTGTTCTCCATCGCAGTATAATTGTTCAGTGGTGTGTTCAGTGGTGAATGTGAGCGCTGTGAGTCTCTCCTGGTACAAAGGAAACAGTGTATTGTCCAGCATCAGTGTGTCTGATCTCAGCATCAGTCTCTCTCTACCTCTGGAGGTGGAATATCAGGATAAAAACACCTACAGCTGTGTGATCAACAACCCCATCAGCAACCAGACCACACAGCTCAACATAACTAAACACTGTCAGACATGTGAAGGTATGATAGCACCAACATGTTTAAAGCAGAAATGCTCTTACAGTAATAATGGTCTCCTTCAGGTCCTTCAGACGCTGGATCTCCGCTACTGTTGATTTCTACTGCTGCTGAATCTGTGTTGGTTATTTCTGCAGTCTGGATTTTCTGCATCTGCAGGAAACACAGAAAAACAGATCAAGAAGGCAAGTATCACCTACTTAAAAAAAACTGGTATTATGAAGAAGTATTATAAATAAATATAATCAAAACATTTAAGTCAATTTAAAACCATATCAGGGGCATCACGGTGGCACAGTGGGTAGCACAATCGCCTAACAGCAAGAAGGTCGCTGGTTTGAGCCTCAGCTGGGTCAGTTGGCGTTTCTGTGTGGAGTTTGCATGTTCTCCCCGTGTTGGGGTGGGTTTCCTCCGGGTGCTCCGGTTTCCCCTACAAGTCCAAAGACATGCGGTACAGGTGAATTGGACAAGCTAAATTGTCCGTAGTGTATGTGTGTGAATGAGTGTGTATACGTGTTTCCCAGTGATAGGTTGCATCTCGAAGGGCATCCGCTGCATAAAACATATGCTGGATATGTTGGCGGTTCATTCCGCTGTGGCGACCCCCGAATAACAAATGGACTAAGCTGAAAAAAAAAGAATAAATCAATGTATAAAGCAATATCACCTATTCTAAACATACATAGATAAAATGTCATATCCTGTCATTTAAATATATGGCATAATGTAAAGTTAAATAAGAATGTTAAAAATGGTAATGTCGAGTTTTTAAATGTCTGTTACTGAAATGTGTGCATTAATACTTTCATTTTGATAGCAGTAAATTACAATGATTTTTATTTTATTGTTCAAACAGTTGAGATTGTAGCAGAGGTCACTTATGTGCTGTCGGAGATCACCAAAAGCCGCGTACATAAATCGGTAAGAGAATTTGTCTATATATTAATCTGACACAGACATAGAAATAAGCATGATTAATGATATTTATAAAAGCCTTGGAAATGCTTGTTGCACAACATCACAACACAGACTGTATTTTAAAGTAATTAGTGACTGCAAAGTAAAATTAAGAAGTGAACAAAAATTTTACATTTAAAAAACTTTGAATGAGATAACTAGCAACAGCATTATTATTATTACTATTTTTATTAATTTTAATAATATTATAATATATATATATATATATATATATATATATATATATATATATATATATATATATATATATATATATATATATATATAATTAATTTAATAATATTATTTTTATTACTACATATCAGCATTAATGTTAGCACAATTATCACATAGATGAAACTTAGAAAGACACTCAACCTAAACAAAACAAGCAACAAAAATAATCTGCTGTCACAAAGTGTTTTAAAATTTCACACTAATGTGGTATCCTTGATCAAATCAGCTTTACTCAGTCCTATTTATTTTACTTAGTCACAAAATTTAGCTCTATTTGACTGAGCATTTGAGAGTTTTCCTGAAGACACTGCTTTTCTCACTCAGAGCCCTTTATATGTTCTGCTGATTTATGAATGTGCAAAAAATTAGTATTAATATTAAGTTTAAAGAGTTAAAATTACATTTTAATAAAGCTGTAAAAAACAAAGAAAGGAATTGGACAAATTTAGCAAATATTCATGTTATGATTGAGCCAAGAGACGTTTAATCAAGCAGATCATTATGGCAAGGATATTTATAAAGCAAGATTTCAACACAATTGTAACTGATCTAAGTGCTTTACAATGAACATATACACACACACAGTTAAAATCAGAATTATGAGCCTCCCTGAATTATTAGCCCCCCTGTTTATTTTTTCCCCAATTTTTGTTTAACAGAGAAAAGATTTTTTTCAGCACATTTTTGAACAAAATCGTTTTAATAATTCATCTCTAATAATAACTGAATTATTTTATGTTTGCCATGATGACAGTAAAGAATATTTGACTAGATATTTTTGTGACATTTAAGTGACATTTAAATGCTTAACTAGGATAATTAGGTTAACTAGGCAGGCTGGGGTAATTAGGCAAGTTATTGTATAACAGTGGTTTGTTCTGTAGACTATCAGGAAAATATATAGCTTAAAGGGCTAACAATATTGACCGTAAAAATGGCTTTAAAAAATTTTTTAAACTGCTTTTATTCAAGCCAAAAAAAAAAAAAAAGAAAACTTTTTCTTTTTTTTTAAACCATTTTATGGTCAAATTTATTAGCCCCTTTAAGCTATATATTTTTTTGATAGTCTACTCATTCTGAGTCTTGTGTACGGGGGGTTGGTGGCCCACTGTATAGCTTTAGCAAAGGGGCCTCAAACTACCTAAAGGAGCCCCTAAAGGTGACATTTGTCCTATATATGCTTTGAGTGACTGAATAGAGGCAAGGGTCTGTCTAAACACCCACACTTTAGCACCTAGCATTTCCTGTGTTAGCATTTGCAAGTGTGCATAAAATACTTTGCAAGTGTGAATGTCAGCAAAATTGTCAGAAATTCAGCAAATACAACTTTTATTGCTAAGATTCGGGTTTGTAAAAAAATGTTTATGTTTGTGGAGTTTAGAAATAGGAATAGAGTGTCAAATCACAACACAGTGTGAATGTTGAACAAGGAAGATTACATGATTTATGAATAAATAAATAAAATGTTTACAGATTGTCTAAAATAGATTTTATTCTGTATCTAAAGCTAATCAGGAAGCATTTTAGATGAACAAATCTATTTTGTTGTGTTGTTTTTACAGAACAGTAGAGAGCAGGAGCAGGTGCTGTATTCTCCAGTCACGAGATGAAGATGAACAAACAGTGTGATGATTTTCATGAGAGCCAAAAAAAAAAACTATAGCAATATTGGAGATACTGGTTGAGATATAAAGATCTTTGGAGTCTATAGTTGAGTTTTGGGATTGGCGAGATGTAGAATCAGGAAAGTCTTCTGGTTTTTAAAACATGACAAAGAAAGTACCCGTGGTCCTTTTAAAACAATGACTTTAACAGATTACCTTAATATATGACCTACTATTTTGATAGACTCAGAAAACAAAGTGTTTCAACTAAGGTGCATTGATGAAAAATGTAAATGTATGTGTAAAATATTCACTAAATGGTGTAAAAAGCAGTTCTCAGTTATTGTGTTTAAGTCTATATTGACATATGGTTTGTTCAGCTGGATAAACAGCCTTTGCATGAGCTTGTGAAGGTGTGATGTCTGTATATGAAAGTGTGTATGTGTGAAAATGTGGTTGGTTTTTCCATCCCTGCTCAAAAACGTTCCGATACTGCTGATTAACTCATGCTGTTTGATCTAACTTTCTGTCAATGTCTAAGAATCATTGTATACACTCTCAGAAAAAAAAGGTATGTGATCTGTCACTGGGGTGGTACCTAAAAGGTCCATAATAATACCTCAATGGTACACATTAGTACATAAAACATACAAAAGTGTTCCTCTTAAAATTTTAGGTACTATTATATACTTTTGGAGTACCAATATGGACCATTCAGGTACAACTGTGTACCTTTTGTAATGGTACCACCCCAGTGACAGCTCGCGTAGCCTGCGTATTTCTGAGAGTGTAAGAATATATGCCATGTTTAATTTATGGTTGCTATACTTGTGTTTGCTGTTGGGAAAAGAATGAATGCATTTTTTCATTATTTTTGTCTATTTTATTCTTTGTAGAAATATGTTTTGCCTAGTGATATATTAACCAAGCTTCTTTTCTGAGTGTTGGCATAATAATAAAGCATTTTTGCTTCCTGCCGTTGGTGACATCAAAATCTGAAAATAACTTTCATTTCTCATTTAGCTTTCCCATACAATGAGATGTGCTAAAAGGTGTGAAGACAGAATGCTGCAGATAATGCCTTATCTTATAATAATGTCAGCTTATGTGCACAGAGCAGTTTGCAGTAAGAGAAATGTGACCGCCAGAGTACTGAAGAATAATTGTGATGAATTCCAACAAAACCCCACCTGTTAATATCAGTTGTGTATAAATACTGGAGTCAGGGAAATGCAGAGTTGTTGTGAAACTCCTGAATGTAATTCTTGTATTGCACTGGTGTAATGTGACCCAGAGCTCTGTTTATTGATTTATTCATTTGTATCTAATAAATTACTGATATTTTTGACATTGAAGAAAATCCTCCCCTGACCTTTTTGTTGAACATAATGTTGAGATATTCCAACATTGCCTGTCAGGCTGATATCTGATGGATGTGTGGAATTATTTTGCTTTCATGTAGTCTATTTTGTCGAGAAACAATTTCTTTTTAAAAGCATAGTGCTGCTTAAGGTAATACATACAATGAAAAAGTAAAGTAGTAATAAAACGTTATTGTCCTTGACAAGAGATTTGTTATGGGCATCACCATATTGCTGCAGACACTCAATAAAACAAGCAATAAAAAACAATAGAAAATACAACAATTACAAAATTTATAATGCTAATTAAGATATACTGTTATTAACTAAACCCACTGACACAGGTACAAAGGATTTCTTATAGCGGTTTAACCTACACTTTGGGACTCTATATCTTCTACCAGAGGGAAGCAGTTCGTACTGGGGAAACAAAAAATGAGTTGGATCGTTTACAACCCTTTCCACCCGATTGAGGACACAGTTCTCATATAAAACTTGAGGATTAAAATATTCATCGTGCCCGACAATTTTCCTTGCCGTCTTTAAGAGATGCATCAGTTTAGATTTACACTTAACAGTTAGGTTGCCAAACCACATTGTGGTGCCATACCTGACAATGCTTTCCAGAACTGCTTTGTAAAACAACATCATGAGCTTCTTGTTGACTCCAAAAAGACGCAACCTCCGTAAAAAATACAATCTCTGGTGTAAACGAGAACAAACCCACTCAATGTGTGTTTTCCATGTGAAAGAACTGTCGATATGAATGCCCAAGTACTTAAAGGTTTCTGACTAAGTAATAGAATGGTCATGTACAACCACTAGACGATGGTCACCTATACACTTTGGGTCAAATACCATCTCTACTGTTTTCTTAGTATTTATTTTTAGCCTATTTCTATCACACCACTCAACGAACTGACTAATTTCTGACTGTTAGATAACACCAATATCATCATTCTCATAAAGTAAACTTAGTGTGGCTGTGTCATCAGAGTAATTAAAAATAAAATTCTGTGAATGCTTACTTGAACATTCATTTGTAAAAAGAATAGGCAAACTGACACAGCCTTGTGGAACCCCAGTGCTACGGTTCTTTTCATCTGAACGGATATTTTTTACCTTTCCAACCTGAGTTCTGTTTGTTAAAAAT